TTATAGTGTCAAGGATTGCAGAAAAATTTGTAGTGACTTTGTGTGTGTTTTGTACTCGGTAGCTCAATTAGGATTACTAGGTTCAATCGTTTCGACACCTATGTAATTCGAGTTTATTGTTGTACGTTACACTAAGTGGAAGTTCAATCGAAAGATACTTTCATTTATGCACAAAGTTGTGGGGATGACGGATTATCGCTCAGTTTCCATGGATAATTTACTCTAAAATGGTGGAGGATTGTTGTTTATTTTAGAGTAAATTGATGGATTTAATAAATCTCTCATGTGATTCATATTCATATGTATTACGGATATGGTGGAAGAGTTATATATTCGTAAATGATATAGTATGAATTGGTAAAGTATTTACATGTATTTTGTAAAGTATATACTTGTGTTTAGTAGTGAAATTTAAGTGCAGAAATTCTGCACGGGCATGTAACACGGGCGTGTTAATTCTGCACGGGCAGTGTAACACGGGCGTGTTAATTACAAACACGACCGTGTTAGGTTCAACACGGGCCGTGTTAATTCTCTGAGAAAATGTTGTTTTTCTCAGACATTTGACACGGACCGTGTTAAGGTGCAACACGGACCGTGTTAGGTGCAACACGGCCGTGTCAGATTCGACACGGGCCGTGTTAAATGTCTGTAATATGAACAAATGTGGCCTTTCGCATGAAAACTACTAAATGGATACAACTTTTGATCATGTCTCTGGTGTTTTTAAAGCCAAGAACATCAGAGAATGTGGATATACGAAATCTAATTGATCTTGAGAGATTTGTGAGCCTTTTTTGGTGAAGAAACTTGCTACTTCTTCTCCATCTTTTACTGTTCATCTTCTTTCTCGAGTTTTTCTGTTTTGGGCAACGTTTGAGGAGCAAATCAATCGTTGCTGATCTTCTTTGTATCTCTAAACGTATTCTCGAGTTTCTCCTTTGCTCGGTAGGGGAGGGAATAACGTTTTAGGAAAGTGTTCTACGCGCCTAGAAGATTATATCCGGGTTGTTTCATCTTTATTTCGATTTCACTGTTTTATTGTTCTTTCCCACTGTATTCATAGTATTTTTCTAACATAACATTCCGACCTGTTTCTCATGGTCGGAACTTGCCTGTAAAAAACGCTAGAACTAATCAGATGAACTATGAAGAAACCATGAGAGAGGGAGAGAGAAACTTACACCACCAGTTAGCAACTCTAAATGGTCAATGCGTATTTTTCAATGCTAAAACAAACGCTAAACAAAATTATTTACTTTAACCTCTAGATCATGAATTTTAAACCGCAGATTATTAGGATTTGGATTTTTATATTTAGGTTTCGGTTAGATAGAGTTTATAGACTGTATTTAGAATTCTTAATTCCTATCCATAAAAATATATAAATCTAATCTGAACACTAAACTCTATACTTTCATAATTCCTAATAGACTAAGATTTAGGGTTTGGAGTTTAAAAATTAAAATAAGTGGCTCATAATATAGAGTTTAGAGTTAACGATAAATTAGGAATAATTAAAAAAAGGAGAGAGAGAGAAAAGGCAATTAAAAGAATTATCAATATTCCTAATTTATGGTAGCACTATTCTAATGGAAACCTAAATCTTTATATCTTAGGATTTAGATTTAATATTTAATATTAGTGTTGAAGGTAATTTAAGAAAGGAAAATAAAAAAGTAAACGAAATTAAAAAAAAAAAAGGAAACACACGCTGCTCTTTTGAATCTGATAGTCATTAATTCTATAATTAATATAAAGGGCAAAAACCCTACTCCGCTATCACAGTATCTTACGAGCGACGTAATTGCCAACAAAGGTCTCGTCTTTGAATTTCATCTGTAAGTTTCTCTCTCCCTACTTCATGGTTTCTTCATAGTTCATCTTGTTAGTTCTATAGTTTCTTACATACTAGCTCCAATCCAAGAAAGGTCTCATATTTGAATTTGGGCTTCTGGTTTTGACAGCGAAATCCGTGGCGGAAACCTTGAGAAACAGAAGGAATTGTTAAAATATGGACATGATCAGTGAGTTGCCCGATGACTTGCTGTTGCGGATTCTTTCCTTGCTTCCGACAAAAGGTGTCGCCGCTACTATGGTTTTGTCTAAACGATGGCGATCTCTTTGGACGATGGTGCCGAGACTTGAGTATGATTCTTTGAGAGGCGATACTGAACAAATAGCGTTCACGGAGTTTGTTTACAGGTCTTTGCTATCGAATAAGGCTCCAGTTCTCCAAAGTCTTCGTTTTTGCATAGATTCGAGGTCTACTCGTGCAAAACATTTGAGAAGATGGGTTGAGATTGCGGTTGAGCGCCGTGTGCGTGAGCTCGACATTCTTTATAAAATAATTGGTTATGAGAAAAGTATTATTCCCTTGCCGAGTAGCCTCTACACTTGTGGAACTCTTGAGACTTTGATACTCCGAGAATGCGTTCTTGTGGATGCTCTTCCTCAATCTTGTTTCCCGTCACTCAAAACTATACGCCTTATAGGAGCGTGCAATTTGGATCCCGAGTGTTTTTACGCACTTTTATCAAGTTGCCCTGTTCTTGAAGATTTAGTTGTGGAATTGTATTTCAAATGGGAGAAAACTTACACTATTGCAGTGCCAAGCTTACAAAGATTATCTACACATAACATATGCGGAATATATGGCGGGTTGGTGATAAATGCTCCTTCTTTGAAGTATTTGAACATTGTAGATCGTGACATCAGTGGCTCTTTGGTGGTCGAGAATATGCCAAAGGTGGTGGAGGCAATTGTTAGAGTTTTTGCTGCTGTACCTTCTCCGAAGCTTCTAGGATCTCTTGCGTCAGTTCGGCGTCTTTCCTTAGATGTAGAGGTAAACTATCTTCCTTTTACAACTGTATATATAGATTTGAGATTGAAACAACAAAGAAAAAAAGACAACCTCGGCTTGTTATTTGAGTGATTTCTTGTTATAGTAGTGTTTTATCTACTTAATTTTCTATCATAATTAAGCAGTGCGTGCTACTTCCGAAGGACATTGTCTTTCATCAGCTTGTTCATCTCGAGCTATACACACGTGGCAAAGATTGGTGTGATGTACTTGCATATATGCTCGAACGTTCTCCAAACCTGCGAGTTCTGGAGATCAAGAATGTATGTTGATCTCTCAATCATTTTCTAGTTTGATTATGTGATGCAACTGTACTTAAGTTTTCTTATGGTCGTGTTGGTTGCAGGACTGGTGCGACGCAGGTCCAAGAGATTGGTGGAAACAACCAAATCATGTCCCTCGATGTCTATTGTCAAGCCTTGAAACTTTTCGGTGGAAAAATTGCAGAGGATATCTAGAGAAAGAAGTGGCGGAGTACATACTAACAAATGCAACATGTCTGAAGATGGCATCTGTTCAGCAGAAGGGATACTTTGATTTGGAGGAGCAACAACTGATTCTACAGGATCGGGCTTCCATGGCCAGGGGTTCTACTTCACTTGTTTTCGACGACTGATACTATAACATATTCTTACCCTTTTTTTTCTTCTTCGTTGAGATCTTGTTAATTGCTTGCTTTGGTTTGAAGTTAGGTGTGAGTAAGGAATAAGGACACGCATTGTTGCATAACTAATTTATATGCGGTGGGGTCTCCCGTTTCATCCATATAGAGTCTATGATATATATATGCTTGGTTTTCTCTTGAACACCCGAACACTCTAAATACCGAGGCGAATCAATGGAAACTACGATGCAGCGGTTTTGACTTTTGAAAAAGTCCAAAACCATGGTTTGAACTTACGAGATCTCAAATGTACAAACTCAAGTCGCCAAAACGTACATTTATACATATATACATACATGTGCCAAGTTACCGTGATTACGAAGAAAACAGACCCTGAAAGAAGGTGTTGATGTCGCCTCCAAGAATGTCGAACCCAAGCAACTTGTCAAGGGCGTCCTGCAAAATCCATCCGGGGAAAAAAAATGTACTGTTGCTTTATGAAAATCTTTGTTTTTAGGACATGGGAGAAAGATATGTTCGTGAGAAGAAGACCTTGTATGATTGATCTTGAGATGAAATGTTGTCATGACTTAGCCTATCCACACCTTCGTTGTTCTCCAACCCGTCCAATACCACCGCTGCTCTCTTTACGACTTCCTCCGGTACACCTGCGTTGTAACATGAGAATTCCCCTTCATGAAGCATGCAGTGCTAGAACTGTATTCTCCGTCACGAGTTCTGAAATAATGTACCAGCGAGTAATGCACAATGCAGACCTGTAGAAGGCAAAATTGATGGGTGTCATTATTATACAACTGAAGAAACGGATTCCTTAAGCTGTAAAGGCTGCCAGAATAATAGATAACCCACTTACCATAACTCAGCAGCGTGTGTCCTGGAACTATCCTGCAAGAATACATTCATATTTATATATATCTAAGCAAATGATAAATTCCAAAAAGCTTTGCATGAGCAGAACATTTCCAATGATAAAACACCGCACACCGGGTGAGAAAGTCACCAAGATAAAATACCGATAAAGAAAAATGATATCCTCAATACTCCTGGAATCCGTCTCTGGCCTCAAAACACTCATTGTGTAGAATTTGATCTTCTCAGACTGAGCAAAGGAAAACGAGAAGTGAAATCAGGACGAACTGCATTGATACCAACTTCGATAACAAGTCGCAGGAGCAGCTCGTTACTGTGTTTTGTGAATGATGAATTGTTTTACATCATCAAATTGCTTCATCGCATAGGTGGATAAGTAGAAGAAACTTGAGAAATGGAAAGGCAGTCAGTGAAAAAAAATATACATACCACAGGCAAGAAACTTGGGTTTAAGAGTTCAGTCAAGTGGGTGCATACCAAAACCTGAAAGTAAGCCGAAAATGACCGTGATGTCATCCATGCATTCCTTTCTCACAGGGAAATGCAGGAAATGAAATACCAGTGGACAGAGCTACTGTCATGCATGAAAATTTACTCTTTTCATGACTGCTCAACTGGTATTATGCGGTTTGGAAAGAAGATTATAGCCAACGGAGAAAAATTTGAAGTGGTCATAGAACCTCATACCCTTGGCGGCTCATGAAATGAGGCAAAGTGACTAATTGTCCCTCCAAGCAAGCCAATTCCATCTGTGTTCAATAAAAGAATGGTTAAAATTGCACAAATATATGCAACTACTTGTATAACAAAGAGCTATTTCTCCTACACGAACCTTCTGCAAGAGTGCCTTTACCAAACTCATCCAAGAGACACAGAGATCTTGAAGTCGCTTGCCTGATGAATTAACAACAGACAACAACAACAACATCGCCTCATTCCCCAAGTTAATTAAAAACAGACACAATATTGAAATGATGAAATAGCCCACAAGTATGAATTAGTATGCATAGTACTGTTCTATGTCCATGTTCTTGAAAACCCGTGAACTTAGAGTGCTGCGATTTAAAAGAAGAGTCAACTAACAAAAAAATACAAATGAAACAGAGCACCGACTCCTATCAGGAGCAAAGTTACTTGAGATCAAGCTATATGGAAGCAGAACAAAAATTACCTAAGCATCATTCCCACTTGATGGAGATCAATCATAAATGTAGATTGTTCTGCAGTCATAAATCTGCTTCCCATTGCACAGAATATCCTGTTATTGTATAACTGATCTTGGTCACAAAAGGTAAACAAGAAACTGATTCGAATTCAGTAGTAGAATTGTTTACCTATCTGTTAGACCGACTGTTGCGACCTCTGCCGGCACAAAACTTCCGATATGGGAAAGGAAAACAATTAAAGCTACCTAGAAAAAGGCAAATACAACTATGAAATGCGTTTTTGTAGTTGTTAAATCATGATATGAAAAATCTCAGCGGAGACAAAGAGACAAGCCTTGGAAGAGTAAACTTAACCTGCTTTATATAGATGCTCTTCCCTGAATAATTGGGACCGGTAATGATATTAATCCTACCTGCAATAGAACAAATTTCTGATCAGGTTTTGTAACAAGAACTAATCGCGTTCCGCACATGAGTTGAGCTTCATGCAGCCTATAGTCAAAGAACATAATCATCAGTCAGTTTCAGTCAGCTTACAGTCGTTAGTGATCTTTGTGTCATTGGGGATAAATGTATCAACAGCCATTTCCTGCAATACATGCCTATGAAGGTATAGATATGTATTACTCCAATTCGTCATTAAGACTTTACCCAGGGATGCAATGGAAAAACAAAAGGTAACCGTAGCCCAAGCTTTACCTTCCGTTATGTATGTCAAGCATTGGTTCTGTTGTCAAAGTAGGTCTCACATAGTTGTTTTGATGCGCTACAAAAGCCAATGATAAAATGCTAGAAAACCAAGGAAAAAAGTAATAATTTAGTTACAGTCATTGAAGTCACGAATAAACGTAATATTTTGTTTTATGAGGGAAGAGAAAAGGGAGATGAATATTTTCAGCTGCACAGAAAAGATACTTTTGTAATGTGAATTACCAATCAAGTTCTGCGACAAAGTTAACGGCCTTCAGCAGATGTGCTGAAAACAAAAGGACGTGTGATAGCAAGTCCCTGGTAATCGCCCTTTCCATATCTGTCAAAACATTTTGTTGAAAATGAAAGATTATGATCATTATACTTGAGAAGTAAATACAAAGGCATAAAGTGGATCTCAACATAAGGTCTTTTGATATAACAGCTGAACAATACAAACCAGCACGAAAAACATACCTAGGATTTTGTGATAAATATCTCCAAGAAGGTTATCCAACTCTCGTGTCTTTGGAGTATGATAAAAGAATCGTTGAGTCTCCCCATCCATATCAGAGAACTAATCACAAGGACTCCCCTTCACATACATGCTTAGAATTCAAACAATGGGTTTCGAGATTACTCGAAAGCTCAAAGGAAACTTACAGCAAAATCAAATTCATTGAGCCTTTCAACTTCTGTTTCCTCAAGTTTTTCTCCAAAGATACACATGAGGTAACCTGCAGAATGTATTATGTGTAGGAAAATGATAAACTCATACGAAAGAAAAAAAAATTGAGTTATTAAAATGTCGAGAAAGCTTCAGCACTCAGTAAATATATATGAAAGCAGATTCCTGCCCTGTGCATCGTGAAATATTTATAAAATATGAGGTAAAGATGTTTGGCATCATAAAGAGGCTATTCCACAATCATCAGAAGAATGAACAATAGAGTTGAAGTGATAATTCCATGACTTAATGCCCCAAAGAATCTGGACTCTGAAACTGAACTCATCAATATGTGAATGAACAACATTAGGGAATCAAAAACTAACTTGAACTATCTATCAAGGTTTATGCAAAAATCACTAATGTCACTTTCAGTCTGGTCAAGAGAAATCTTCTATGCTCAACTGTTATGGATAGAAGGCAATGCGTGACTATGAGATATAGTTAGCAATGAAAATGCAGGCTTACCGATTTGTTGAATATAGACAACACAAGGAGGAAGGTTCTCCTTATGCAGATGAGAAAACTTTGATAACTCCATTGACGAAACCTGCGAGCTACTGAAATCATCCAAAAGAGGCGTATATATATTCTCATTTACTAATTAGAAGAAAATATTCACAAAAGAACCTCCTGAAGGAACTCTGGCAGCTCCTCATATATTTGCCTGAGCTCATCCAACTGGTAAAAAGAAAAGGAAACGTATCGGTTACACAACTTGTAATAGGTCTTGTATTCACCCAGAAATGAAATTCAGGAATCAGTTGTACGGCCTGAGCTATTTAAGCCACTAATGTTGTCTCATCTCATAGGTAACTTAAAGTTAAAGGCATGAGGAATGATTCTACTCATAAGGAACTTTTTGTATCGTATGAATGTCATAGTTGAGCAAACCACCATGGGACTTGTACGATTACCTCAGCACAGAATCCCTCTTTCACCATTGTTTGATAACTCTTCTCTTTGCTTCTACTAATGTCAATGACTCCAATCACCTGGAAATGTGCACAACTGGGATGAAAAAGCCCTTGTTACAGAAATTCTAGTTAGAACTGTTCTGCATATCCTTGACAACTGTCTTAAATGCCCACGGAAGTTATTTGTGAGGGTGTGTCCAAGACTCCTAATATGCCAACAACTTCGGTTTGAGACTTCTAAGAGGAATTTCTTGGCCAAGACATTTTAGCCAGTAGACAATGTTGCATCAAATTCAGAACAATGATTACGACATGAACAGATGAATGCAACATCATAAAACATGATCAGATTTCCGATTAAGTTTTTATTTTCAGAATCAAATCGAAAAGTAAACAGACCTCCATGAGAGAACAACTAGCATTAAAGTCTGTTCTATTGTGAGCGCAGTATGGTACTCAGATTAGAATATAATGGAAGAAAAATAAGATAATATCGACTATTAAATAGAATGGAGAAAAAAGATAATATCGACTAACCAGTTCATATACATAAGCTAGCTCTGTACTGATGCATAATCCAGCCTGCAACATGGCAAGAGGAACTTAAGACATCGAAAATCAGTAACTGAAAGGATAACACCTACGGTTTCATAAGCCAATGATCAAAGAATATCAGATACCTTCTCAACAATGTCCAAGTGCAAGCTTTTCATATACTCCCGAAGAGTTTCTGAAACTACTACTTCAAATATTTTATTCACGTGCAAGAGTGCACTTATACTCTGCAATGTACCAAGTAAGAAAAACATAAATTGGAAGTCCCATCCCTCCAAACAAAATTACCACTACAGGGAATGAGGATTTTTCTGCAGAGATTAAATAGTAACATAAATAGTAGCCCAAAACACTTAATGCACATGCTTAACCAAAAATTCAAAGGAAAGAGTATCGTCGGCCCAGCTTTATGAATAGCCTACCTTTGTGCAACTTTCAGATACAAAGTTTGTTCGCAGATATAATAACTTTAAGATTGCAAGACAGTATTACAACCCAAATGAAAATTTGTGATAGTAGAAAGACATGCTTTCTTTGAATGTTTTAAGTCCAATTCACATAGCTCTGGACAATCATACCACTGAATTCAGCACAAAATAAGACCAACTAAAAAAGAACAATGACAAGAAAAGAATTTAAAGATCTATATACTTTTGCCGAGTAACAAATAGAACACATAGATAAGAAACAGATAAGAGGAACAAATACATAGCATAGACCAAAAAATCTTCAACAACAAAGAGGTCAGTCACCTGATATGTATATTATCTGAATGATGGAGTATTGTGGGCAATAGGAATTAGGAAATCTACCTTCAAGAAAGCTGTCCAATCCTTACTCGTACAGAGGGACGTCGGGGAGTTGAATTTCTTGTTTGAACATAACAAATATCAGAATTCAAAATCATAGTCTTATTATTAATTCACAACAAATGGCACCGGAACAGATAATGGTCGTCTGTTGGATTATTGGCAAGGTAGATCATAGGCAACATTTACTCGTTCTCAGTCCTAGCAGAATTATTCAAATAGCTATGTTTCTACATATAGACCACACAGTTCCATTGAAAACCTTTCTCCATGCCGTTGGTTTCTAGTTTTATGTTGGCTTCATGGTACTGATGACTGAAAGAAATATGCACGATGAAAACAAGAAGAATATGAAGACAGAAAATACATACCTTGAGCAGATGGGTAATGTCCTTCACAGATTTCAGTGTCTCGCGCAAAGATGTCATTAGCTCTTCTGAAGAAATGAAAAAGGAAATCTTATACAGTCAAAGGAAACCTCTCAGAACACTGATCAGAAGACATTGAGTAACTGACAAATTACTGGTTGTGGTAAACCATCATTATTCAGGACACATAAAGTAGTTAATCTGATGATGATGAGGTTTTAGGAAGCAGATTTGAAGTTTAACACGTAGGTTTTCAATCTTGATTGTTGGGTTTTAACATTTAAAGAAAATTATTCCACAAAAGATCAAGAAAAGAAAAGGATACAGCATTGAGACGATGATCTAACAGTTCAAGATCTAAAATGGGCCTCATAAACCAGCTTCTGAAATAGAGGAGAGTAAACAAAGAGCAGTCAGGAAGGTCTCTTTAGCAAGTAGCAACAGGGTAGTAACATTTTATCATTAACATATACCTTAATAGGCGTCTACCCATTGGCGTGGCACACTGAAAAATAGGCCACCTAAGTTAAATCATCTACGACGCCGCCTCAACCATAATGAACCAATACAAGTCAAACAAACCTTATTCATCACCCCAAATACTGAGAACCTTCATATAAAAAAGCAGTGAAGATCATTTGAATGTCACAAGATGGAGCAGAACAAAAGAAGAACCATATTTTCAACAGTTGAAAAATGACATTTACCCTTCTTTTGCCCGACCAATGCCCATATGGCTAGGATGTTTATCTATTTGGAATATCTGTAAAGCCTCGTGAGCAGCCACGTCAAGTTTCAGAAAATTGTTTCTGTTGCTAATGGTAAAGGAGTCATAAAAATAGCAGAGACGTAAAGAGCAAACAATAGACAACATTATTATGTAAAATGACATAAAAGTGAAACTTCGAGGATACAACGATACTTCCGTGATCGAATCAATTGCAATTGATGCAGTCCCAGATTCCTTCTGTTCCAGGGTTTCTATGATCCTTTCATTCTCTAATATTGCAAGAAGACCCCCACCAACCCGAACTTGAACTTCACTTCCCATGTCCATCATTGAACTTAGCTGCAGGTCATGAAAAGGACAACCAACGAACCATGTCATAATAAATGCAAATACCCTTCGTATTTGGATGAGCAACAACAAAGTTCTCAAGCTTGGTTTCAACTAAAAAGCTAGGCTAAGAAAATATGTAAATGACAAGAATAAAAACAGATGATTCCAATATGAGAACTACAACATACATAAATTATAACTTATTATCAGATTCCATCTGCACACTACCGTGACAAGAGAGTTCTCTAAGTGCAACCACGTACAGAAATACACATAATGCTAAGGCAAGTCCCACGTACAAAACCAGCATGGACAAAGTTCTATATAAAGCTATTCCACATAGCAGAATTAAAATTTTCCTTGCTATAACTTACATAACATATCCTTTCCTTGATGTTTAATCCATCATCCATCCCTGTTACTCGAAGATATACCAGTCTACAAGATATTAAGAGAAATAAGAAAAGGAAAAATTAATGCATAATCACTTGCCAAACGCTCATCCCTTAACATTTGTCATTTATCTCACTACGGACTACAGAGTACCAAGAAAATATGTAATCAGACAAGTGACAACAAACCTTGAAACTTTAACATCATCCAACAGGACACTAAGTGAAAATGCAGCATTTAAAATGTTGTTATCCAAAGACATAGCAGCACTAGACCATACAATACTAATATAATAGTGTGTTGTAAGGAGATGTAATGCTCATAACTTTGAAAGGCTTGCCAACATGTTCACATAGGATGGGAAAGTGTAGAGAAGGATATTACACTTTGAATCAGCGATTTAGAATTGCAGTAAATAGTTTCCTAGTAGAATGTATCTTTGTCAGAATGTATTTCTGTACCTATGCCAAGCTTGCTCGTAGCTGAATGTTGAGCTCTTAACAAGCTTCACCATGGGAGTCTCGCAAGTTCCATCTACATCTTGGAATGAAATGCATGAACAGTGTTTGTAGCTGAAAACCCAAGAAAATAGATAACGCCATACCATTCTGCTGTAGAGCTGATAGAAAGGATTCTTCACTTTTGGTGCTTGTATAAATGACCAATGGATTTGCTTGATATTTTACTAAAGACATAAAACCACAACAAAAGAAACAAAAAACAAAAAATCAAATCCCGAGATCAAATGTGGCAGGACGTTATCCGATAGTACCAATTTTGGTAACGTCTATCCAATGCCAAAGTCACTGAATGGGTAAGTCACCAATCCCTAAAACGGACTATGTAATGTACTTTATCGACCGTACTCCCCAGGCGGAGTGTTTCACGCGTTAGACAGATAGGAAGGGCTGTTGCACAAAATGTACTTATAAGTAATTGCCCCATAGATCCTATATCTATCTATATGAAGAAGAAATCATGTAACGAAGGGGATTTTGATGGTCTATCCAATGCCAAAGTCACTGAATGGGTAAGTCACCAATCCCTAAAACGGACTATGTAATGTACTTTATCGACCGTACTCCCCAGGCGGAGTGTTTCACGCGTTAGACAGATAGGAAGGGCTGTTGCACAAAATGTACTTATAAGTAATTGCCCCATAGATCCTATATCTATCTATATGAAGAAGAAATCATGTAACGAAGGGGATTTTGATGATGCGAATCGGGCTTTAATGAGTTCTAATATGCAACGTCAAGCAGTTCCAATTTCTCGGTCCGAAAAATGCATTGTTGGAACTGGATTGGGTTATCAGATTTCATTACAAATCTTGTAAAGCAAATAGGGAGCAACTGTGTAACGATTGCATTCATTTGAATTTGAAAAAGCTTATACCAATATCAATCAAGGGAAACTCTGAGCAACTATCCTCCCAAAATTCAAGCAAATGAAGCTGGCGGATATTACAGTCGTAGTAAGATACTCCGATTCTGCGCAAAAAGATTTTGTAAACTTTGAGACTGATGCAACTAACAGTTCCTCAGAAACTAATACATCTATTTAATATCATTAACATCCACAAAACGCTATTAGCATTTACTCCTATGCTACCTTTTCCATAAGACCCCAAGAAAGGTTAAGTATGTGTTTTATTAAACTCTAGAACTGACTGTAACATTCCACATTCTTCTCCATTTCAAACTTTTTAAAGCAAATAAAATAGACAGAATCTACTATATCTTATAATCATAAACAAGTACAAGTAATTCACGAACCGACGCCCGTGTTGAATGCAAGCCATATAAACCTGCATCAAATTGAAATGAATTGATCCACATCAAATCATGGAAAGCTACATCTTTGCAACTGTTAAGGATTCTGACTTCACGGAAGATATAGGTTCTTTCTAAAAATTTCAATTTCCGCATCCACCACATCAGAAATTGTCCCTAATTCGACTTTTCTTTTTCATTCATATTTCGAATTTCACAAAGAAATCTATCTTCAAATCCAATTTGAGCCAAAAAAAAAAACGCAAGCCGGATAATTCAAATCCCAGCAACTATACGTGCTCGAATTGGGCAGAAGCCTCAGTAAACCTAAGCAAACAGAGATTCTCAGGTGAAATTGAGAAGGAGGCTCTCACAGTAAGATCCTACAGAGTCATGAGTTCATTATTAAACAGTTAAACAACCGAAGCCAGAACAAATCGCTTTCTCGGGAACCGAACAGGGATCATAGGAGTTTTGGCGAAGTTGTGAGAGGAAAAGCAGAAAAAAGCGTTCGAATTAACCTGTGATCGGTCCTCTGTTTCGTCGATTTCCTCCATTGACGTAGCTCGGAACGAGAGAGAAGAGTTCAATCGTAGACGATGAGCGAAAGAAATGCCGCGCGAAGAAAGAGTGAAGTCTTGAGGACTTTATATATTTCTAAGATTAAAATTTATCTAAAAACATTTTAAAAAAATTTAAATAAATAATGAGAAGTTTTCATTGGAACAAACAATGAAGTGGACCGCCTGAAATATATATATATATTTTTTTTAAGATCTTGAGATATTGTTGTCGTGTAGAAAACTAGATTTAAGAGCTTGGACTGATTTCATCATTTAATATATTTATTTATCTAGTTAAAATTTTATTTATTTATTACACGTTTTGTCTTTTATGGGATTATACTTTTAAAGAAATATTTTTCGTTCATTTTGTTTTGTTATTTCATATTCCAATTGAGTTGGATAAATTTAATTTAACAAATTATATATAATTTCTTAGAATTCGAATATATGATAATCGGATTGATTTTATTTAATTTTATACCCTCAAAACAAAGGATCACAATGACTAGTACATAACTTTTTTGTCTGAATTATTTTTTGCATGATCTCTCCTTAGAGATAGATATTTCAAAAGTCATTGCAAATGTTTTTTTCAAAGCTAGACTGAAACTATAAATTGGACTGCTAATTACAATAATTTATAAAATCTAATTCAACTGCCTTATCCACTAGGCTCTTTATGATTGGATTGCCGAGACAAAGAAGCTTGAAGCTCCTCGAGAGATCGGCCTTGGGTCTCCGGTACCATCCTCGCCACAAATAAAAGTCCCAAACCCGAAATAATTGCATATATGAAAAACACACCTATTACACCAAAAAACACCATTAAACTCTAACATTATCTTATACATGCAATTATACAATTAATTAAATTAAATAATGGCATAAACCCAATTCAACCCCCCCCCCCAAAACAATTAGATCTTGTGATTTGAATACCTAAATTTCTTAATACAGAATTAAAATTTAGATATTAAGCGTAGAAATCGACTAATTGAATCTATTTTGAATTTACAGATAGTTATTTTATTGATTGAGAAGATTTTTATTTATTTAAACGGGTTCAGATTTTATTAGAGATAAATCCCATAATTTTATGTAAAATTGTGTTCGGTAATTTAGTTAAGACACTTAATAATACATTCCATTCTTTTTTGTTTAGTTTGTGGATATTTGAGATTTGATAATTTAATGAATTGGACAATTCACTCACTTTTATCCTATAATTTGTATTCCAAAACCTTTCTTTAAGAAAAAAATTAAATCTTTAAATGATTGGAAACTATGATCCCTATTCGATTTATTCTGACAAAACTATAATAAAAATATTATGAAACTGCGTAATTTTAAAAAAAAAAAAACACGTGGGAGTTTACCTGAAGAGCTCCATTGGAACAAGAAGTTGAAGGTGTAGGAGACGAACCAGTTGCTCGACCAACTTATCAAATTGCAAAGCGTCCCCGCAGATCCCTTTATATTTATCGGTGTCATCTGCCATTCGCAAATATAACCAATAATCTGTTTATTTAATTCCATATAGATCCAAACCGACCATTACGCATTAATAAATAAAAAATCAAATCATAGATTTAATGTTTTCTAATAAGATACTAATTTTCTCCGAGAGAGAAAAAAAAAACATATTTCGGCTACAAAAATTAACTGAATCATATTTAACCAATTCTGAATAAAATCTCATATACAAACCCATTGGATATAACTTTATTTAAACCAAATTAATAGCATCTGAGTGGAAACTAGTCGAATTTTTAGCCCAAACGTGGTGGTCCGGTAGTGTGGGACCACAAAGTGTTCTCCCACATCCCGGGTTCGAATCTTACCTAGACAGTCACCGATATATAAAAAAAATAGTCGAATTTATAAAAATAATTGAAAAACCCCAAATAAAAAACGAAAATCTTTGAAAACCGAACATTTCTTTAAAAAACTAGAATTTAAACCGAGTACGAACTAAACAAAATCCGAAGTAAAAACCATTTGGTTAATCTTTTTTTCCAAAATAAAAAAATATGATCTTAAACCGAAATCCGAAATATCAACTCGTAGTATAAATAGTTATTATACCTCGGAGATTATAACCCATGGAATTCCCCCCATTCCAATAGATATCGACATTAAAAAAACCTGTGATTACAGAGAAAAGCCTCGGTTATATCGGATTTGGGACGTTACAGAATTTTTATTCGCATCCGACGTACGTAAAATATATATTACCTGAACTCCTGTAAATGCTAAACCCGGGCTGACATTGTTAAATAAATCGTATCCCTGCATTTATAGTTATACCCTATCTTATCATATGCTTATATATGAAACAAAAGAGAGTGCTCATAACACAAAAAAAAAAACATACATATATATATATATGTATGTATGAATGAATATAAATGGGGAAAAACCTGAAATAGAAACGATAGTCCTGTGAGTGCTGATCCCATGCCCATCATGACGGTCGTAACCTGCAAAAGATTCAACAAATTGTTAGTGGTTATTATATTATAAATATATGGTTAACAAAATTAAATTTCGATTATCCTCTAACCATCAAAAGCGGCCTTCTCCCATATTTATCGATGACTAATAAACTGACGACGCTCATTACAGATTGAATGAGGCTCGTTGCCATGACTCCTACTTTACTTGAAAACCCTATATATGAACAGATTTTCATTAACGTCGTTTAGATTCTCATATATATGTATCCACGTCGTTGTAAGATATATGAAAACATACGTACCCGATTTCTCGAAAATGTAACTCATGTAGAACATATAGCCACTTAGGCCGCCGAGTTGTTGCAGAACCAACAATCCGATTCCGACCTATATATTTACAGATTGCGTTTTTCCGTCGTGAAAACGTATTAAAACCTATATTTACATACATCTTATATAGTTTTCGGGTCTATATTTTTTCATATGGTAATGTTTGTCCTCGATCGGGCGTTTTACTTACAATGATCACACGAGAATATCTTCGGTTGAACAACTCGAAAAATCCATCTTCTTTTGTTCCTTGAACATCCTCCATATATTTCTGAGGAAATGAAAACCCCATTTCAGTAATTTATGTATCAAGTGTGATTATTTATCTTAAAAATGTGTTTTTTTTTATTAATCGATATTGCACTTACTTTGATTTCAGCGGCTTCCTTGAAGATATCAGTTTTATTTCCACGAAGTCTTTGAAGCGTAGCTTCTGACTCTTTAATCCGACCGATTCGGGACTAAAAAATAAAATGTTTAAAATGTCAAATTGTAACCATTTCTTTTATTTTTCTTATCATTTATTCGTTTTATTATATTTTTTTTATGAAATAATAAAAATCCTTTTTTCGAAGTTGATGAAATGATAAGGGCCAGAGGCTAATTAAGAGTTACCAGCCATCTTGGCGATTCAAGTGTGAAGATTAGACTAACTAATTCCAAGATGCATGGAACCGTACCTGCGTAATTTAAATTAAAAAAATCAACTGACAATATGTATAAATTAATAAAAATCCAAAATTGGAACAAAAAATATTGAAGGTATTGAAAATGAAGACAAATGCTCCTTTTATAGATTTATATGGGGAAATCTACTGAAAAATATATTTTCTTACAATTTAATAATTTACGTAGAATTTTATTAATATCTCATTTAATATTTTTATATCAATATCCCACAGAATTAAATAAATTTTTTAAAAGATCGTACTATTATCTATTGATTTCTAAATAAAAAACAAAAACTAACATTTAACGGTCTTATAAATTTATCATTCAGTTATAATCTCAATTTTAATATATATGATTCGATATACAATTTCTTTCTAATCAACTACAATATATGAACCGAATAGAACATCGGCCACAATATTTCGTACACTTATAAATTTCCACGAAATTTAATATTAAACTAATTAACTCTAATTAAATTAATGTTATCTAAAAAAATTAAAGTATAAAGGGATCCATAGATTTTTACTTGCGAGGGCTAAATATTCCCATGAAATAATGGAGCCAACGAGGAACGAGAAGCAGGCACCGGAAGACATCATGATCTGTCAACACCGGAAAAATTAGGATCGGTTATTTCCGGTTTAAGAAGATAAATTAAATTCTGGTTACAAAATCGAATCGTCCGGTATTAATGACACCAACGACTGCAATAAACATAACTAAAAGTGTATTTTACCGTATTAATCGCACATAATGATCCCCTGATGTTTGTGGGTGCAATTTCCACTATGTATACAGGTGCCTACACGCCAATTCAACAACCCTTTTTATTGATTCCAGTTTAATTTACAATATAGTCATGTAAAAAATTGAAAAAATGGATCTGGAATGTTAACTTTTGTTTTTCTATACAGAAATTGAAACGATTATAACTATTTTTATTGGTTAATTGTCCACATTTACGTACCAGGTAAGAAACGATACCAGCTGCAATCCCAGTGAAAAGTCTTCCAGTGCAAAGTGACCAAACATCCTGATTATTATTATCATTATAGCGTATTGAAATATATATATATATATGAACTATTTAATGGGATACTGTTTTTTATAAACGGGTAATGTTTTATTACCATTAATTCAAAATTAATATATTAAGATTTTCGAGGGAGAGAAGGAAAACCTTGGAGAATGCGATAGTAATCCAACCAATGAAGCATAATATATTCGAAAACAATAATCCCTGCTCAGGAAATTGAAAAATGGAGTCTTAGAAATAATGCAAAAATTTGTATGTAATTAAAAAAAATGATTAATTCAACAATTAATTGTCCCGATTGTAATTACTTACACCTCTCCGACCAAAGAGATCGGCGAGTTTTCCGGACAGTAATGCTCCTATTAGTCCACCAATAGTAAGTACGGATCCGAAGAATGAAAACTGCGCCGTTTAATTAAAAATAAAATAATTAAAAATTATTAACAAATAATACAATGTCTCGAATATCTGTCTAATACAATTTTTATAAAATTTTATTTATAGTAATGATAGATTTTATATTAAAAATATATTAAATTTAAATTTAGAGAACATTTAAAATCCTGATATAAATAGAATAGGGTCGAAAACAAATACATATCATAAACAGTAATGATATTTGATCCATTAGTAGATAGTCCATTGGTTGAAAAGCGACAAAGTTACTACAAAATTATAGGTTCGATTTCACTAATCGGGATACTTGTATAACTAAAAATTGACTTCGGTTTACGGAATTAAGTGGACCAAAAGATTAGTGCAAAATAATATTTGAATTCTCAAATTAAAATGACTTGCGATGCAAGAAATTGGTTAAAAAGTCGTGGACTCGTCACCTAGACCATGCATCGGGCTCCGGTAAGGTAAATGCACAAACACGCATCATTATAATAATATCAAGTGGCACACACACATACATCTCTCTCTCTCTATATATATATATATATATATATTTAATACGTGCGTAATTGTATGTATATATTATAAATTGTTCGAATTGAGGTGCTTTGCTTGGATATTCTTTTCCGTGCCACGAATAATTTGATTTTTTCTTAAAAACATAAAATGATATAACGAGTTCAGTAATAGAATTCTTGAAAAGAGTATTCTAATAATTAAAAAAAGTGAGATGCCAACTTTCAAAACAAATCAGAGTTTTAATTTATTCCCCCAAAACTTGAAACTCTCTTTCGTTTTTTAATTTATTCCGTATTTCCAATACGTGATTATCTAAATTCCATTTGGGAAAGAAAAATCTTAGTGAGGGATATTTTGTGAAGCATATTTGGTAAATCGTATTTCCAAATCATATTCTTTTAATTTATTATTCTAAAACCAAAAGGAAAACACTGCTATATCAAAAGATAAAGCTTACCTCGGCGAGGGAGAGGTTCAATCCGGACATCATCCCGGTTTGAACCGGAGATGTAAAACCGGCCTGTAAATGGAAATCATTATCCGGTTATATTCACTAATCGTAAATGGAATCGACAAAAGGAATATTTAAATATGATGAAGTTTTTATTAACAATATCGCATTTTTTTAAATGAAACGAATGTTTGAAATTGTCAAGAAAAACTCGTGAAGTATTGAATATTATATATGTAGGTATATATGATGGTGGATTATTTATTAAATGAAATATATTTTGATTTTTTTAAATTAAGAAAATCATAACTAGATACGAAATTTAATAGATTATAAATACTTTCATAGAAGTGAAGAAACAGTTTGGTAGGGAAAAGAAAAAGATAAAA